TGTTGGCACGTTGCAGAGGGGCTCACGTGGGGTGGTTTGGGCCGTGCGCAGGGGCTCACCGGTGGGATGGTTGGGCCACGTGGCAGAAGGCTCACGTGCGGGGGTTTGGGCCGTGCCCAGAGGGCTTCAGGTCTATTTTAACCATTTTTAAGTGTACAATTCGGTGGCATTAAGTATATTCACACTGTTGTACAGCTATCGCCGCTATCCATTTTCAGAACTCTTTAATCACTCCAAGCAGAAACTCTGTACCTATTAAATGCTAATTCCCTGTTCCTGCCTCCCCCCAAACCCTGCTAACCTCTATTTTGGTTCCTTCCTCTATGAATTTGACTACCCTAGGTATCTCATATAAGTACAACCATACAATATTTGTCCTTTTGTGTCTGAATTATTTCACTTAGCATAAAGTCTTCAAGGTTCCTTCATGTTGTAGCACGGGTCAGACTTTTATTCTTTTTTTGAGGCTGAATAGTATTCCATTTGTACATATCTATCACATTTTGTTCAGCCATTCATCTGTTGATGGACAAAGAGTGGGTTCCCACTTCTTGGCTATTGAGGATAATGCTGTGAACATTGGTGTGCAAGCGTTAGCGGGCTCAGTCTTCTAATCCTCACCCCGAGGGAGTTACCTGCGGCCACTGCAAGGAGGGTTAAAGTCAGATTTAGGAAGAACCTCATGGTCTCCTGCTACCAGAGACCGGAGCAGTGGCAGTTTCCTCTCTGGAAAGTTTTAATAGACAGAGACTACTCTGCTACCCCACCCCATCACGCCCCCACCCCAGACTGAGCCTGGAATGGCTGCCCTGTATAGAAAAGAGATCACCCTGGGGGCACAGCTCTGGGTGGGCTATTTTTAGGAGCCGGTGGTGGTGGTTTCTTTGTCTTCCCTTGGGCTCTGGGTCTGCCACCACCCTCCAACCCCAGACCCAACTTTCTCTTTCTCCTCTCCCTGGCAACATCCAGGCTGTCTCACTTTTTCTCTCCCAGGCTAAATTGGGAGTGTGAAGCTGCTCTTCTTCCCAATTTAGCATTTGAATTAAAGTGAGAACTGAATGTGGCTGGAAAGCTGACTCCCATCTGTGTGAGAGAGGGAAAAGCAGAGGGAGCGAGCAGGAGCGTGGGCACAAGCTGGGGCAAGCAGGGCCCGCCCAGGGCAGCTGATCTGGGCAGCTCCTGTTCAGCTCAGACCCCGTCCTCAGGCGCAGGCAGACACCCCGCAGGAAGACACTGAGGTGTGAAGGTTGCGGTGGTCTCAGGAGTGGAAGGGGGTGCTGCAGGGGCATTGTTCAAACATCCCACAGACGTGTGTCAAGTGCTACTGTGTTCCAGGCAAACAGTGGTGAACCAGCTGGACCCAGGCCTATGCCGACCTTCAGTCTGGCGGGAAAATAGACCTGGAAAGAGGCCGTGATCCAACAGGGCGATGTGTGCCGTTGGGGGAGGGACAAGTGTGGCAGAGGCCTGGAGGAGGGGGCTTCTGATAGCTTGGGGGTGCCTGAGCCAAGACTGGAAGCACATGCAGGAGCTGACCTGACAAAGCGGGAGAACAAGGGTGCTTTGGGCAGAGGGAATTGCTCATGCAGAGATTGGAGTGGGCATAGTTTCTGCAAGGCAGGGAGCTGGAACTGGCTGAGTTGGGCTCCAGAGGGCTAAAGAGCTTCCACTGCCTCTTACTCTCCACCTCCTCCTCCTTCCCCCTCCTCCCCTTCTTCCAGGAGAACAGAACCAGATGAGAGTGATCTGGGCCCGAGAAGTCTGGGAGCTTGCGAGTCTTTGCTCAGGCTGCAAACCGTCCAGGTGGAGGCGAGGAGGTTGCAGTCTCGTTCTGAGCTGGCACGCAGAAAGCTGGACCTGCCTGACAGGCCCAGGGTGCACCTGGAGCTGAGGAAATGGGATCTCAGTCGCGTCTTGGTTTAGATTATTCCATCCTTCCTGGGGGGCTGGCTAAGTTGATCTCTGAGGGACCTTTCCTCTTCTTAGTTGATGGAACTGAATCACGATTCTGGCAGAGATAGGAAGGCAAAGAGACATGAAACTGCTGTCTGGGGCCCATGCATTTCCCTGTCAGGCACAGGACAGGCACAGCTAAGGGATGCTGGTATAAAACTCACCATCAATATTTCAAGCAGCATTATTTATTGATCACTCATCTGGCTGGGACAAAAGAAGAGGGCAGTTCATGGGGGAGGCAGGGCTGGTGGGGTCAGCTTGGGAAAGAGGTCGGGGAAAGGTGGGTCATTGAGGAGCACCACCCTCTGCCCCTGCAAGAACACTGGGGTTTCAGAGTTTGGGGTTCCCTTTCAACCACAGTACCCTAGATGAAAATAAGGGAAGGGGCAGGCGGCAGGGACACTGGAGCAGGCCTGGGACTGCCACTGAGGCCATCAGGGAGACCATGTCCACGCAATACTGTAGCTGTGGGAGCTTCCCTCCCTAGACGCAGCCTCCTCCTCCCCAGTTCCCTACCCCATGCTCCCCTCCTGACCCTGAAATCAGCTCCAGCAGCCTGTCTCCCAGGTCGGGTTCCCTTGGGCGGCGGCAGGGGCAGGGCCCTCCTTGGGCCAGCCTGGCAACCTCCCTGCTCGGCAGGGTGCCCGATCCTCACCCAGGGGGGCGCCTTCTGGGTCTGACCCCCTGCTGTGGGAGGGGCAGGGCGTGCGCACGAGCCGGGCTTAGGACGAGACTGCTGGAGCGTCCGCGCTGTCCTGTCCACACGCGAGGGTGCTTTCTTCGTGAACCTCAGCTCAGGGAGCCGAGCATAAGGCGCTCTGCTCGCTGCACCTGGAGCAGATGGGCCGCGCGAGGCCGTCCGGCGGGCGGGGAGTGCGCACTGGGAGGCAGCTGCGCCACCTCGTGGGCCTTGTCCAGGTTGCAGGCTCGCTCCCGCCCGGCCGCCTCCGCCTCGCTGGGGAACGCGCGCTCCGGCGGACCGCACGGAGGCCGCTGCCTGGCTTGAAGGACTTGGGGCGCCCTCCTCCTCCAGACAGACCTGATGCAGCTCAGAGAGGGAAGAACTGGGCCATTTGGGAGGGAGATGATCACGTACTGGATGAAATTTAAGGTAGTGGGGGAGCCAGCAGGGGCTTTTGGTCTGGAAGCAGCCTCTCCCTATCATCCTGGATGCCACAGATCTGGGGACCATGGCCCCGGGCAGCCCCCAAGGCCCCTCCCTCCTCCGCCCGCCCTGCCTCCTTCCAGGCTGAGCAAAGCTGGGCTGAGCCCTGCCCATCAAGGGAGGGCCGGCGCAGGCTGGAAGGACTGTGGCTTGCTTTCCTCTGACGTCACGGCCTGGAAATCCCATTTAAAGCAGGTTCTCTGGGTATGAGGCACTGACAAGAAGGGGAGGAGAAAGAGCTCAAGTAGCTCGAGCCCTGAGGCCACTATAGCCAGGGACCTCAGGCCTGGGGGACTGCCCCGTGTTCCCAAGGAGGCCTGGGCATGACACACAGCGCTAGATCGCAGCCCCAGCCCCCAACCCAAAGCTAATACCTCTCAAAGCCCCCTGAGGACGCAGGCAGTGACCTAGCACCCTCCTCATAGCTCACATCTCTTTCCAGCCCCCTGGCCGGGAGAGATGTGCGGAGGCAGAGGGGAGAGGGAGGTGGAATGAGGGGAACAAGGAGACAGCAAGGGGTCACCAAGCCCAGACATGTCCCACCAGCCAGCCTCTTCCCAGGAGCCCTTCCACCCATTCCTTTTATCACCCTTCATCTCTCCTGTCCTTCTCTGCACCATGGGGGGCAGGCCCTGTGCCCAGAGTTCTAGAAACCTGAATGTTTCCATGGCAACAGACCAATGAGTGTGGAAATCTGAGCATGTCCCTGTCGGTATAAGGAAGCACAGATGTCGTCCATGGAGAGCCTGGCATTGTAGAACCAGCAGTGCCCTCCTTAGCCACCAGTCACTGTGGGTGCGAGCAGGTACCTGAGTATGAGCAAGCGTGTGTTGTGAGTGGTACGCGGCAATGAGATTCAGGTTGCAGAGTGCCTCGCCTGGCTCCCTGGCCATATGGTAGCTGTTAGCCTGGGACTGCAGCATCTTACTCTCTGGGGATCTTTCTTTTTTTGAGACAGAGTCTCACTCTGTTTCCCTGGGCTAGAGTGCCCTGGCATCATCATAACTCACTTCAGTCTCAAACTCCTGGGCTCAAGCAATGCTACTGTCTCAGCCTCCCTAGTAGCTGGGACTGTAGGCATGGACCACCACGCCCGGCTAATTTTTTGTTTTTTGTTTTAGTTGCTCAGCTAATTTCTTTCGATTTTTAGTAGAGATGGGGTCTCACTCTTGCTGAGGCTGGTCTTGAACTACTGACCTCAAGCAATCCTCGGCCTCCGAGAGTGCTAGGATTACAGATGTGAACCACCATGCCCAGCCTGGGGATCTTTCTAGAATGAGTCTGGCCACTGAATTCTATCTACCCTGGTAACTTAAGAATTCAGTGGCCAAATTGCTCAGAGGCTGATGGTGAAAGGAATGACCTTCAGAGGGCTGGTCGAGTGGAGGATTCTAGGAGAGACAGAAGGGACACGTCACATCCTACCCTCACTATCACCTCAGTCCAGGAGGTTCTTGGCTAACTAGCTTGGCTTGTGTGGCAGGTGGATATGCCGTGACGCCAGGGAAGGAAGAGGAAAGCTTTGTGCAGGGGTCCAGAGCCTGGGTCTAGTTCCTACTCACCCTACTACCCACCCCATGCTCTGCTTCCTCTACTTTCCTTCCATGAGGCTGAGCTGCTATTTCTCTGCTCCCTCTCCCCCTCCCTCTCTGTTCTCTTCCTCTGTCAATCTCTCCTCCTGTGCTGCCCCCTGCTCTTCTGCCCTCTGTTCCCTCCCAGCCACTTGTGCTCCTTGGCCCTGGTAGCTTTAGCTGCACAGCCCCAGGCTCAGACCGCTGTCCTCCCTCCACCTCTCCTCTAACCTTGCCCAGCGGCTCAGGCCTTGGCGCTGTGCTTCCCCACTGCCACACTGGTGTGCCTCTCTGGCCCCAGCCCTTGGTTCCCTGTCCCCAGGATGCACGGGCTGGTTCCTTCCCAGCCCGTCTTGGCTTTCCCATCTCTCTGCCTCTGTCCTCAACCCTTTCAGGGTCTCTGGTTGAACCCCGCCTGCCACCAGCATTTTTTGGCTTTTCTAGGCACTGTGGCCGCCAACCAATCCCTGAGCCCTGCACGGCAGTCCCACAGCCCATCCTCTCTCCCCTGGGGTCTTTGTCCGCAGAATATACACCTGGCACTTTCTGTGGGCCAGAAGGTCCCCTGGGGTTTGGGATGGCATCCTGAGGGACAATTCTTGGGAGTCGGGGCCCCTGGGCCTTAAGTCCTGGCCCCTCTTAGGCCCCTCGAAACCATTTTCCCAGACTGAAGGAACCCAAGCCCATCTCTCCCCTGGGGATCAGAGCTACTACCCCATAGCTGGGCCCTGCTTCTCACTTGAGGTCCTTCCCGCCTGTGACCGGCTGGGTGGGGCAAGAACAAAGCACAGAGGCCAAAACAGATGAGGTGCCAGAGTGTGGTTTATTGGCTCATCCAGTGCCAAAGGTCCAGCGGGCAGCCTCCCTCCAAGGAGCTGGGAGCCCCCCAGTTCCCCCACTTCTGTCTTCTTCACACGTCCCCCTTGGCCCTGATGGATGCCACGGCAAAAGCTGGGCCAGGGTGTGGGACGAGGCTGGGCTCACACAGGGCTCAGCCTGCTCAGCACAGGAAGGGGACCCTGGGGCCAGGGAGCACGGGCCCAGGGAAGAGGAGACAGCTCTGCAGGGGCCTGTATAGTGGGCCCTGAGGCATGGAGGCGGCCAGCCAGGGCCAGGGTGGGAACGGGGTGACATAAAAGGGACCGAGGGCGGAGGAGGAGGTGAGAGGCCCCTCGGAGCCCATTCAGGGCCAGCTGGGTGTGGGGCTAAGGGTGGGAGGAGAGGCCTGCTGCAGGGAGAGTCCTTTACCCGAACTTCCCCAGCCCTGACCCAGGAAGAGAGGCACACACACTCATTCACACACACACACCCTGGAGCCCCCACCTCCCCCCGTGGGGACATGTAGCACACAGCCCTACCCAATGCCTAGGAAAAGGGCCCCTGCTGCAGCTCCCGCGTGGCCACCCCGGCCACTGAGCACACATTGATGCTCCGCCTC